GGGGAGCCCTCGCCGGGGGTAACGGGCTGTTCCCCCCCGTGTACGCAGAGTCACCTGCCAACATGTCCGACAAACCAGACATGGCCGAGATCGAGAAATTTGACAAGTCCAAATTGAAGAAGACAGAGACGCAAGAGAAAAACCCGCTGCCTTCAAAAGAAAGTGAGTGCGGGCAGGCTGCGGGGAAGGGCAGGCAGGGAGGGGGGAGGGAAGGGGGGCTTGGAAGGCGGGGGGAGACCAAATGGCGGGCGGGGAGCCGGGGTGCGGCGTGGAGGGAAGATACATGGCTGTTGCTGTGCCAGACAGCGAAAGCCTGAACCCACCACCTAGTAGCGCTTAATTTACAATAACTTCTTTCCTAATTTGATATATAGATACATGCAGATATTTTTACAAATTATAGCAATTGTCATATGAATGCATTTCAGGTTCTGGATCTTCATTTCCTTTTCCTTTTTTTTTCCCCTTTTTTAGCAATTGAACAGGAGAAGCAAGCGGGGGAATCGTAATGAAATCTGCCCTTCCAAATTATGCACTGTACATTCCACAAGCATTGCCTTCTTATTTTACTTCTTTTAGCTGTTTAACTTTGTAAGATGCAAAGAGGTTGGATAAAGTTTAAAATGACTGTACTGCCCCTTTCACATCAAAAGAATAGAAAGAACTACTGACACTGAATGAAGGCGCTGCCTTTCCCTCTGCCTGTCTGGCTTTGGTCCTGGTGGCATGAAAGAGCTTGCATGTTGATGAAAGAAGAACTTGGGTGGGACTACAGTAAACTAGAGTAACACACGAATAAATGCAAAGCTGTACCAAGGTCCTGCGAGCTGTAAAATGCAGTTAATCGAGTGCCATTTTTTTTTTTTTTCAAATGATTTTAATTATTGGAATGCACAATTTTTTTAATATGCAAATAAAATGTTTTAAAACCTGGATGGTATTTATGTCCTCTATTTGGAGAACTGTATCAAAGGATATGAAGCATAAAAGCCGGTACTGAGACATGGGATACTATAAAACCTTTGGAGATGACTCAAACCTCAATCACCAGTCTCATTTTTTTTCAATACGTGCTCTCACCAGTAGATAAATATGCGATCCTCGAAGCTAGCTTTTAGACAAATTTCCGTTAAAAATTGCATGCCTTATAATTTGTTACCATGTGAGTATATCACTTCAAATATTTCTTCTTTAATATATCATAGAGATGGATGAAAGCAAAGAATTGGGCTACGTTTGTTGCTTTGCCCCGCCCATAGCATAGCACTGTAGTAATAAGAACCGTTCTGTGCTGTTGCAAATTCAACCTTGGTTGTATAAATCCATAATTGGTTTAATTAATTGAGTCTTACTCTGCTGATACAGTATTTAATGGAAGATGTTACTTGAATTTTAAGTCTAAGATTGAAGATTAGCTTTTTAGTATCCTAAAGCTATTTTAGTGATTGATGTCCCATGCAAATAAGTATCATTTTACTAAAATGTTACTCATGTTTTGGAAAGTTTTATAATCTCAACAGCTACTTGATCGTAAGAATTAGTATCAGAATAAAAAGCTATGGTTTCTTTACTGATTGAAAACTGACCATTTGAGGGTAAAAATTTCATGGTAATTTACAAAATGAAGATAATAATACATCCTATATGCAAATAGTAACACTACACTGGTTTACGGTGGATATTCAGGCCTGGGACACGTTTTGATTATTTTTCCTCAAATGACAGTGTATAAAGCCTGTGATCAAGGGAGATCAGTAGGAGCTGACTTTCGTATTCATAGATTTTGTCCATTACTCACTCCCTTTTGAAGTAAATAATTAACATTCTAGAAAACAACCCTGTCAGTCTGTAGGAGGGTGATGAGTATGGTTCCACAGTGCCTTAGTTTTTATCTTCAGGGGTTGAGCCTGTGTTCATTTCAGCCAGTTGCTATAAAATAAAATCAGTCCCTCTGGGGAAGCCTGGGTTTTGCTGAGGCTGCTGACTTGGCAGGGTCACATAGATTTGGGGTTTCGTCCTACTGCCTCTCCCTAGCAGTGTTTGACTGCAGCAACAAGCTCTGTCCTTCAGCTTACACCAGTGCAGGCAGTGGGGCTCCTGTGCTTGGAGGTTTGGCGGAGGTCCATGCTGCTGGAGGAGGGAGCCCTGGGATGCCACATGTTGGTGGGCACAGTCCCCAGCCCCCCAGCAGTGGAAAACTTGCAGAATCCAGTGTTTGATGAGACTGTATGGTTCATGCCTGAGATGTTTTGGTGCAGTCCATGGGAAAATTTGGGAAGTCCTGGTGGCATAAGGACCTCCACAGTAATTTAAGCTGATGAGTTCCGGAATCAAATGAACCATTTCTTGTGCTTGTAAATGTTTCAAGCCTTCATTTTATTCCCCATATGTAATGGGAAAGACATAGGAAAATTTTAGCTGAGTTTCTGAAAAGTCAATTAAACAATCAGCTCCCAGCTACTGATCTTAATCAGGTAACACAGGATGTAGCATGACTAAATTCAAAAGCATACAGTCTGAACTGTACGTGCGCGAATGAGTAGAAGCAAGCGGTGGTTTACGGTGGATTCATCTATGGGAAGAAAATCAAAACAAAGTATTTCTGAGAGAGGCATGTGTAAGTCAATGAAAGTCCATGGTGTAAGCCAGCGTGGTTCAGCAAAACTATAACAAAATATGATGATTCTGACTAGAACTGCAAACCTGAAGTGATCAGAAGACGACGCTGGCCAACAGGTACCACCATCTGTGACGTGCCTGGTGGTCTCAGGCACGTGGTGAAAGATGGCGAGGCGAGGCTCTGTTTTCAAGAGATACGGCAATAATCTACTACTACTACTGATAGGAGCTCTGTTTCTGGCATTGGGGACTGGATAAAATACTAAATCATCTGGAAAGTAAACCTTCACAGTTAAATTCAGGAATTGCTGGAGTCTGTCAGCTCCTGCTTTGCTCCTTGTTTGGCTCTTCGTGTATATTCAGAGAAAATTGTGGCAGATCTTCACCATGCTTTGCATAGGCAATACTGAGGTGGTCACGTCTGACACCTCCTTTACAGCAATGCAATTAATAGCATGAAACATAAAGGCTCAGATGGCTCAATTGCAATAGTTGGGGCTGTCTCTGCTATCTGTTGTCTGTGGCTAGTAAGTGAGACCAGCTTCTTCACTGCCAGTCTAGAAAATTTCATCAGCAGCAAACTGACTAGAAAAGAAGAAAAAAAAAAACAACAACCCAAACCACAGACCAAAACCTGGTTATGAAAAAGGGTCATCAGAAACAGAAAGGCACATATGGTTTTTGATCTCACACACTGTGCAGTCACATTATCCCAGCCCTATGAGATGAAGGCTCTATGGTGGTGTCTCGTGTGCTGTCTCCCCACCCCTAGCAGAGAGGCAGCTCCACCAGGGCTATGTGGGGAGTAGCTCTGCCCTCTAGTACTGAACAAAATTCTTCCTTTCTCAGTGTATAATATAAGATTTTCTCTCTCTTTCATGCACCTCCCCAGATATCGTTAACTATGCATACATTGGACAGAAAACATATGCTAAATGGTATCCAAAATAGATCATTGTGGTATTAAAATTAATTACAGCAATGTGGAGACATTAATGCAAGCATTTTGGTCTTCTGGGCTATTTTTGTGCAATGCTGAATGTGTGATAAAGCACCACTTCCCCTAGTAACCCTTTACTTCCCTAGAAACGGTGTAGAAATGAGCAGTTCCTACAATGTATTGTAATCATATATGGCTGCCACGTACAGCTGCTGCACAACACAGTTTTATTAATAGGGAAGAGTGGGGTAATCTAAGCATAATATAAAATACAACGAGCAGATAATGCAGCGTTCAGTGCAATAATTCCGTGGGGCTGATACTAAAAGGGGTGTGAAGAAATAAAGAGTGCAGCTCATGCTTATTCGTTGATATACAGTAGGATGACTGTGCAAAGCAACCTATGGTAGTCTTGGCAGAGCTGCCTTCCCTGAGATCATCTGATGTGCCAGCTTTGTGCATTTTCAATTCAACAGGCAAGGCAGCCGAATTGTAAATAAAATGGGCTATTTTGTTCATTTGGAGAAAGGCAATTCCAGACAACATTTATCCACTATTTGTACACTGTCTGACAGATTAATTTGGTATTGTCCCTGTGATATGATGATTTTTTTAAAAAAGCTTTGCTTTTTACCATACACCTATTTCAAAATTCTGTGACTTATGACAAGAATGAGCCCTTTTTTCCCTGTTTTCAGCTGAAGTTAATGACCTGAACTCCAGTATTGCTTTTACCAGGTTTTGAAAATGTCAGACCTCTCTCTGACTTTCTCCTCTTCCTGCTTCAGAAAAAAAACCCAAAACCTCTCAAACATACTGGGTTCTGAGAAATGTTTAATTTTGCCTCTGGGTTAATGAGCCTTCAGCATATTGGGAGCACAGCAAATGTAATTTTTTTTTCTCTTGTTTCAGCAATCATGAGGACTACAACATTCCTTTTTTCCTTGTAATCAAAAGCTGGGGTTCTCAGGAGATTTTTCAGTTTCCTGGAGCTTGGGCTTTATGAAAACTGCCAGGCAGGATGAGATTCATCCAATGTAATGAAAATTGGCAACTGGGAGATTCTCCAACCACTACTCCCTCACACTAAGAGAACACTGATGGCAAAGCAGTCAGATCTATAGCATTAGTTTCAGGCCCTGATATGCAAAGAATAGTGGAATGAGACTGTAAAGAGTAAATCTCTTTTTTAATTCAGAATTCCTACATACTCAGATATTCTGATGGCTTTGGATTTATTTTTTTACCTAATAGATTTTTCTTTCACCAATATTCTGCAAATGAATCAGTGGATTTACTGTAACTTATATATATTTCTAGCATTTGAATAGTCCCCAAAATTCCAAAAGGTCCAATTAAAACACTGTCTTGAAAAAAAGTTCCTCATTCCACTGGCCGAAGGCTTCTTGGTGATGAGGAAACTTTTTCCCACTATTGTTATTCTAATAATTTTATCTTTGGCATGTGGTCCAGGGCTTGAAATTTGGGCCTGGAAGCAATCATCTCCTATGACTCTGTAGACATCGCATATTTCATGAATAGACATTTGCAGTGCCCTTTGTTTGCATAAAGTGGATGAATATTGAGTACACTTACAAATTGACTAGAGGTATGTCTGAAAATGGAAAAAAAACCCAACACAAAGCCCCAAAACCTAACACAAACAAACAAATGGAAAAAAAAAAAAAAAGGAGAATGCATTTGCATGTTCTATATTATTTGCCATGAATAATTTAGTTATCCCTAGTATCTTCTAGTCGTATGAAGCTGCAGCAGCAACATTCAGGTATCTAAATTAAGACAGATGAACTAGCTGAAATCTACTTCTCCCTAGACAAAAAGGATGAAATTCAGTCTTTCAGAGGGTTCAAATCTCACCTAATGTATTTTACAAATTTTCATAGATATTAACTTCATGTTTTATTTCCTATAATGGTTCTTCCTTTCCGTCTGACATACAACTATATGTAATATGGTTTATATCAGTTAAGTATAGCATTTTAAAATGTTTTGAAATGGAGAATATCTCTTCAAACTATCACTTGCAGCTTTTTTCTTTAAGGCCCTCTGTGCAGCTAGATTCCGATGCAAAATAGTTTTGGAGTTACATAATAATCTGAAAAATCACTGGCTGGATTAATTTTTCATGCATCTCAGTTCATCTCACCTGCTCTATGTCATCTGGCCTGTGTAAGAAAATTGAGCCAAGAGAGGGATATTCTTCACCCTTCCCCCTAAACTGGCCACTGGTTGAAATACCACTGACCCACTGTGCAGAGGGAATAGCAGTTGGTATTAGTATGACACAAGGTCTGATGTGGTATGTTACTTCCTGAAGGATGGAAATTTCAGCTTTTTGGCAAAGGGCTCATAC